TCGCTGACGTCATTTATTGGCAGTTATTAAAAAAGATCCATTCGCCGCGGCTATCGTCTTCCTCCTTTTCTTCTTCTTATTCTTCTCCGTCCTCATCTTACGTTCTACTTTCGTCTATAGAGCTGAAATCGTTTAAATCAGCTTACGCGACCCTCCAGTAATCAAATATATTTCGCGCCTCTGACATTTTCCACACAGTTTTGAAAATTATATTTCGTTTATCAGCTTTCCCGGGTAATAATCTAGTTGGCGTCGGGGAACATTACTTTCGTCCTAGATGGCTTTTTCTTTCCAGAACGTCTATTGCTCCTTCCGTATTATTGCGCCTTCGAGCGAGAGCCTTTTTAATAAACTCGGTCATTATTTTCTACGTTCCAGTTTCCTAGACTAATTAACTACTTAATCAATTATTTTATTATTTTCCTTTTAATATTCCACTAGAACATTTCAAAAATTGTCTACATTCTGATCAAAAAAGTCGTTATTTATAATAAAGATTACCGATATCAAAAATACTATTAAAGGTTGTATCTACTAAATTAAACTGTATCATAATTTTTGTCTATGGGTTGTTTTAACTACTAATTGAAATGGGTGCCTACAATATCAAGCTTATGATAAAAATTCATGTGTCGATTTCCGATATATTCTCTACAATTCTAAACTGATTTTATCATTAAGGGATGATAATTGCTCAAGATCGCGAGTTTGAAGATTAGTGAGCACGCGCCTTCATTTCTTTCTAATATCTTGAACCGACCTTCGCATTTATTGAAAACTAAAACAATCTATATCTCTATTTCCATATGTGTATGTCTATATATGCCCCTGTTAACTCCTGCTTCCGCTTCAAATATGTCTCTAACTGGCCCTTCATGTCTGGGAAGGTGTCCTGCTGTACCGAGCGCCATGGCCCAGAGGTTTAGATCATTACTTGGTATTCGAAAAGTTCAATTTCGGGTTCGTGTGCCCTGGTCTATGCTTTTTTATGGTTTCCTTGGGTCATTTAGGCAAATGCTAGGGCAGGAAGTTTTGACAATATCTTGTAACACCTCACAAACTTTTTTATTTTTCCTTTTCCGTAGCGTCTATTGTCCACGTTTCTTTTTCGAATTTTTATAACAAATTGTTTGACTGTCAATTTATAAATGTAAACAAATTAACAGTTTTCATTTTAAACGGTCTAAAACTATCTCTAACCTTATTTTACTATCATAAAAAGGAAACTGTTTATTGCTCTGATTCGGAGTTAGGTATTCACGGGAAGTGTCAAAGTAAAAATAAGATCAAGACGGTAACTTCCATACGCCAGAGCGTAGAGCATACTGAACGGTGCCAGAAAATAATAAAGGGCGCGATAGAGCCGAAGGAGAAAGCAGCCGGCATTTGACGTTGGCGAAGAAAATCGGATTCTGTTATCTTTTTTACCATTCGTGATTATAGAGCGTTCCCTCGGTAACCCATAAATTACGGCATAACTTCGACTTGATTTCGACCGCAAGTCACATCAGTCGAACTCATTTATTATCGTCGCCAATGCTGACGCCCTCTCATACTCGCTCGTCCTGCGGTTGAACTAAGCACATTAAAGTAACCATCCTCCTCCCCCCTTCTCCTCCTCCTCCTCCTCCTACCTCCATTTATCCTCCTCCTTAGAATTGCTCGTCTTTACATTCTGTACTCCTCAAAAATTACTTATTCCCCTTCCGTTTAACTTTTATCTTGTCTGAAATATTGAAATGTATATTAATTTGTACTTTTGTATGAAAATACGTCTTGGCATACTCACTATCAATCAAAATTAGTCTAGTTAGCATATTTTCTGAATAAAATGTTATATTAATTTATATATATATACAGGGTGTCTCACGGTGACCACCCATTAGAATATTTTGGAAACTACTTCGATTCGAATTTTGAACATTTGGTGTTATTGGGTTTGCTCTCGTCAATTAAAATAACGCCATCCCTGTAGCACTTCCGGTTATAAATCGTTGAAATATGTATGTCAAAAAACAAGTATGCTTTATTACCAGGAATTGGATGCTTTACAAAGCTAACTTAATAATTTTTTTACAGTTACTATTATAAAAATATTGTATTCGTCAAATAGTATACAATTTATTTTTGTTTCAGGTGAGTGCCTTGATTGTTTGAGAGATCTGTTAATCGTAAAGAAAAACAAAGGTAAGCCGTAACATAAGGAGGTTTTCACGTAAAAATATTCTACTACATGTAATCATCAAAGGTCGTGATCATTTTTTAAAACATACGACCTGATATAGGGAAATACCTTCAGACATCTTATCATATAAATAATAAAATAATAAGTCCAATAAATGCAATTTAAAGCTTTTGAAGGATGTTTTCAAAAAATTTTGAGAGTTTAGGACAATTTTCAGAGAAGCAGGTACTTAATCTTTTGAAAATAATCGTGTCTTTAATTTTATACTCAAAATGGTGTTACAAGAATTAAAAGCTTCTTTAATTCAACACATATTTAATTTTTATTTTCGGTGAACATTTTGTCTTACCTGTATGTAAAGTAACTATAGCGTCATTGTAATCTTAGTTCCTTTAGATACTACATATTAGACATATAATCGTGGCTACTTTTGGTTAATTTTTTTTCTGGAGAGACAGAGAAATTTTAAAATATAATTCTGAAAATTTATTAAAATGTCGATTTTCATACGACCGTCAAGAAGTGTTATCTGTATTTTGGATACGTAATAGGGTTGTTCATTCGGGACTGAACTAAAGTAGCAAGTAGTTCGTCTATCAAATGTTTACCGCAGTAGATATCTCCAGTAGTCTTCTCTGGAGGGTTAACAATTCAAAACACTATCGATGTATGTGGTTTTATGTATTTCTGTTACATATTTACAAAAAAGGAGGATAGTTAATAGTTAAGCAAATGCGTCTTTCTCTTTTCTTTTCCTGTAAAATGCAGCGTACATATTTTGCGAGTTATTTCAATGATAGGTAGGTACCTGTCAGCAAAAGCTTTTACTAATACAAGTCAATGTAAGGTGCACGTTTACCGCCTTTCAGGAATATTGTCCGGAAGCGTTTCCGTAATAAAATTACAGTCTCTACGGCACTTTGACGTGGTCCCGTCCGTGTTGAAACAGTGCCCCCTTGGGAATCCCCTGTATCAGAGCAACCATCTCAATTCTATTACTAGTGTAGATGGACACACAGTTACTTTATAAGCTGTCATATTGGCATGGTCGTTGCCTACGGTTGTCACGATTATCGCGTCGCAAATCGTTGCATTTCGAAATAACAACACACAGAACGTATAGTAGAACACGAATTCATAAAATAATAAAATGTTTACATTGATCTGTGTGGTGACCTATAATAACTTTCGTGGAAAATGGCATAATAATCGGCAGTTTCAGATAGAAAATGAACAAGTACAATTTAATCTAACGCATTATCTTTATGGCATTCAAAAGAATGGCCCTAAGGGAGGCAGTGTTTCGATTTTTACATTTTTCCACTCGTTCTTTGAAACCGAATTTCATTGTTCTTGTTTTGTGTGTAAGTGTAATAAGAAATCTTTTAATTATTAATTTGTAATGCTAAAATTATCTAAACTTAGTAAAGCTATAAGTTATCCCTATTTATAAACTCCTGTTCTTTATTTTGACGACCCATAAGAAAGCTGTTAGTCCTTCGTATTTTTAAAATCTTGTTTTTCATTTTGGCATATATATCGAAAGGTATAAAAAATCTATATTTTTAAAATCTTGTTCTTTATAGTAACACCCCATATTAGAATTATTAGACATAAGTTGTATTTAGTCATAAAATCCTGTTGATTATTTTGACATCTCATAAGTTGAGCTGTAAGTTAACCCAATTTTTAAAATCCCGCTCTTTAATTTACATTCCAATCGATAGGTTTTTGTGGATTTTTATTTTTTGTTTATTTGATGCACTAAATAGCACGATTGCGATGTAGAGACTAATCGAATATATTTAATTACCTTAAAATTTATTCATTAATTATGCCAAAATTGCGAAAATATTTACTACATCACCTTTAATTACACCTGTTTTTAAAATATATTACTTCACTTAAAGTTAATTTTTAGAAAAAAAAACAAAAACAGACTTCAAGACTATACCTACATGTACAAACTTAAACTAAAATGTGGAAAATAATACTTTAATTAGTTCAAAGCAAAGTGCATTAAAGAACAATCAACAAAATAATTAAAACTTATATACATTTACAATTTATAATCAATTATTTATGGAGTCTGTGCCAGCCAATAGGGACAGTTTAATGCTGCCCTTGCAACAAACATTTCGTCCGATTTCTTTTATCTAATCTCTACTTTCGCATTCGAGTACTAATTGATTAATTAAGAGGGTTATTGTTGCTTTGGATTTCTTACGATTTCTTGTGATAAAATGTATATAATTTGAAATATTATTTTTTACTATCCATATGTTTCCAGACTTTTTAAATACTTGAGAATTATTTCTTTTCGTAGTAAAAAATTTTAAGAACTGCAAAGTTAAGAAAAAAATTAAAATAAAATTGATGAACTGCGAACATCATATTTCGTTAGATCCCCCTCTCCATTTGTCATATCTCGTCACGCTAAGCAGTACCCCTCCCTCCCCCCCTCTTAAAGAAGAAGTGTTGCATTACTTATGTTGCATTTCAGTTTAAATATCGTATACTTTGATTTTTTCTGGAGGGTTAACTTTTGATTTGCTTTCTAGTGAATTATCTTTTAATTTTATTGGCTTCTTCTAAATTTATTTAACTATTTAAACAATTTATTCATTATTTATCATCGTATATAACATAACAAAAAATTAGATGTATTCAAAACTTTCTAACTATTCTAACAATTTAAATTAATTATCCAAAAGAAAATTCTGCAATTTATACGAAATGAATTTGAATTGGAGTAATTATTTAAAACAATTGGTTGTTTCAATAAGTTTCGGGCACCATAAAGAAAACAACTTGAAATTTACGAAAATTTTTATCTATTTACATTCATTCTAAAATGCATTTCGTAGATTCAGGTGTATAGACAACATAAAGAATTCGTTTGTACAAAACGGGTCTAATATAAACTCTAGAAAACTACTTTTTTTGATTCGAGTATAAAACTACACGTTTTACATCCATGTTTCTGTTACAATGTACACAGATGAACGCTAAATATATAATTTACATTGAGTTAATGCTCTGGTATAATAGTGGGTAATTATTGTACCTTATATGTATAATAATGCACACACGTACCGTTATTATACCTTTAGACATATTAGTGCACCTTTCTAACAAGTGAAGAAATATAGCTTTCCGGGAACCAATTCTTTTAGGATAATAATTGCACACTGTTAAAGCTGCCCTCTAGGTGGTGTCCATTTAATTTTATTTATCTATTAGAAAAATTATAAATGTACTTCGAAGTATTGCATGTAAGTAGGTAAAGACAGTAGGTTGGTAGCTATGTTTATTTCATTCAGTTGTTGTTAGGTAATCAGAATCACTATACGAACATAAATAGAATTACGTATAAAATAGCCGCTTAAATAAGAACAATAAATTCTAGCAAAAATATTAATTTCTATAGCTGCTGATTGTTTGTTGGCACAAGAAGTTTTAATAATAATGTAATTTTAGTAGATTTAATCTAGATGTCAGTCTCTCCCCTGTCTACGTAAATAATTGACAGTTGCTTGTGTACAAGGTGATGCGAAAACATTCACAACTAGTCCTCTTACCCTTCGATGTTGCTATCTAAATTCTGAGATAAATTTCCTTTTGCATTTTTTCTATTAAATCCATTTTTTCTGTACAATCATTGTAACAACAAAATACACCCTTAATTTAGACCATTAAACTTTAATTAAGGTTATCTGATGCTAGACAGAAAAAATTAAGAAATTTTACGAGTAGAGAAGTACAAGTAAGAGGACGATAAGATAAGTTTTAATTATTATAATAATTTAACATTAGTTTCGTCAACAACCGAATGAAAGGATAGTAAAATCTTTGAAAACATTGATTACAACCAGTTAGGGCCTAAACTGTTTTCTAGCAAACTTGCTGCATCATATCGGTCCATTTCTTTAAGAATCTTAATCAGATCAGTTATAGCGTTGCTTTGCCTGTTTCTAGCTTCCCAAAGGTCTAATATACAGTCTGTTGGAGAAGGTTTAGTTGCAAAATAGTTGATGTACCTATCAACCGACAGGGCGTGGGCTAACATTCTCCAATCATTGTTTCGAGAATTTGGCAGGTCCAGGCATTGGCAAAGTTGTTTTCTCACTTGACGATTAAGTCTAAACACAAAGTCATCACAAGTTGAAACACCTCTATCAGTTACGATCACGTTTTTAGCCTGCTTTGGCAGTAACAATTCTTCCTGGGTACTCTTGAATCCTTGCTGAGATTTGTGAGATTTCGATGATTCGCAAGTGGAACGTGGAGATTCATTGTGGATCATTATTTTTGGCACTAACTCTTGATAGGCTTTCCCTGCTGATCCCGACGTATTTGTCATTACTGATTCGTCCTTGCACATGACGTCGAACGCCTGATGGTTATCAAAACATTTCTGATTGACTCGAACTGTGAAACTGAGACGACGGTTTAAATCGTAGGACTCCAGAGTGAAGGAACAATGTAAACTATTACTACTGGCTTGCCACAAATGTCTAAACGGTATCTCTTGATAATTGGACCCAGGCTTTGCGTTCCAACCGTCAGAAATATTATCTAAACTCAAAGAAAGATTGTTGCCTCCGTCCTGGAAGTATATCGAACGTGGTTCGTCCATGAGGAATCCTCCCAGTCGTTTCTCTTGTCCAAAAACGGTTTCCATTGAACTTTCAGTATCTTCCAATACGTAAACCCTGACGCTGAAGTCTGCAGAAGATTGGAAACATAATTTTGGCGCAAACACCGCCAGCTTTAGTCTTTTGATGGCCATTCCATCAGTAGATTGACCAACAAGGACATAACGAGATAAGGAATCTGTGACCAAATAAGCAATATCTTTATCCAGTTGGCAGAAAACTCCCGTATTTATTGTTTCTTGTCCCAAAGTTACCGCCGTTTGCCATTGCGAATCGCTGCAGTCACTTTGTAGTACGGATATTAACCAATTATTTCTGGACAATTCGGCACAGTGTGGAATTTTGAGAACGACAGGCTTATTTAATTCGACATTGGGTCCGCAAGAGACCACGGGGCTAAGCTGGGTGACGTTCTCTGTTAGTTTGGGCCTAAAGCAATCCTCATTGAGGATCGACAGAAAGAGGTCCTGTTTTCTAGATCGCGCTAATGCTCCATCTGGCACCAGAAGGCTTACCGAGCTTTCTTTCAAGTTCAAGTAAGCTCCGCTGTAGTTCACCGTAGCGCTGGTGTAGTTTCCGCTAGAGTAGTTACCCCCGGATGCAGGGGTTACAGCGTAGGGTAGCGGCAGAGTTACCGACTCTGTAGCAACTTCATAAGTGGAGTCCGCTGCAACAAAAATCAATAATCAGGACGAGCGTATATTTGAAACAGTGGAAAAGGGCTGGAGTTTAAATGAAGTACAAATGAATCGAAATATATGTAGATAGAAATTTAGAATTTTTTTTAATTTTCAGCATCAGTGTCTACTTATAAATAATTATTTCTTTTAAGGATTTTTTGTTTAATCCTGTAAGTCCTTGTGCATAAGCCGCCTATGGTGTTTCAGTTATTGATCTGTTAACTTACAATTATTGGTGAGCCCGCTTAGTTGGCTTCTTTTGCCGCTAGAGGATTCTAGCGTTGAACTCGTTGCTGGAGACATCTGAATATCACTTGCTGAAGTGATGTGGGGAACATCGTAGTGGTGTTCTGAAACGGATCGCGTAACAGAGGTGGCCGGGGTTGTGAAAGGATATTCGTAACAAGGTGGCACCGTCTGTGTCAAATCTGGCTGCAATGATAAGGATTTCTTATCATGCTCCGGATAAAATTCGGGATGATATTCTGAAAATAAAAGAAAAAAGTTTAGCGTACTTAATTCCTTTTTTCTTAAAAGTGAAGTATTTTGAAGAATTTGGCGGAGGTGTCAGGGTCAGATTTTCATATTTTATGTAATTAAATTTCATTAAAAGGTATGAACGGTCGTGTGTTTCTTCACTAACTGAAATATTACATATTAAATATTTCGTGAAATTTCTCAAAAGTTCAAGTTAGTCATATTTTATCAGATGGCACCTGACGCTTTATATGAAATGTGGGAAGGTCTTGGAAACAAAAAATTCTCACGATTAATACCCATTTTTGAATCACTACGAAGGAGTGTTCATCATTATCTCAACAAATGGTTATGTGGGTATCATATGCAGAAAGCATAAATCATTTTTTATTTTATCGTCATCTACAATCTTCTCATAGCAACTGAACGTTTTTTATTTTCTTTATGTGTGTATTGTAGCTGAAGAAATCACGAAATAATCACATACATAAGCACGCATTAAGATATTCTATTAAAGATAGAAGCAGGTATCAGCTGCATCAAAATTATACACTTAATTTAAACGAAGAATACAAAAATTGGACGTGTAAGTAGTAATGTTCAATATCTACTAATGACCCTAAGTCTAATGCCTTCATTCTCGCCGATTGCAGTTTTTCATTCAATCAAATTGTAATTCTTCCCTAAAGAATTTTCACACAGATAGATAAATGCATCCTGATGACAGTCAGGATACAGTGCATGCGGCCTCGACTTCAAATACTAACTATGGATAGCTATAATCATAATAGTTAGTAACGATGACAATAATGATTATAATAAACATTATCTCCTGATCCTTTTGTAAAATCGCACAATCCAAGGATCATTTTGGAACTAGCTGAATGAAGAAAACTTCAAAAAGAATTGTGGAAAAACTATTTATCCAATAGCGCCCGATTTTCGCACATATAATGTACATAAAATTAGTCTCTATTTGAAAAGAAAACGATAAATTTTTCAGGTTTTCTCTAGTTTCTCCGCTAATATTGATTCGATTGAGTAGATCAAGGTCCCAAATTGTGCAGGGATGCAAAGGAACTGTTTACATTTTACAAGCAATGGAATACACTTGTTTTCAACTCAGTTCTAACCTTTCAGTGACCTCCAAAGCTTACAGATGGCCTTTCGCATAAGATAATATTCAAACTACGAAAAGCTGAAATATTTTTCAGTATTCTTTGTAATACATGTAGGTAACATTTTTAATTCAAGTAGCTTGATTGTTTACAAACACACAATGTAAATGCAGTATATGTATTCCGTAGACATACATAAACACACCTACATATACACAAAGATCGTATACGTTAGATAATGGTTTGCGGGCTCGCTTGGAGGAATTTGTGTTCTTTTTATCTAAAAGATAAAGCACGGTGACAACTGTATCGGAATAAATTTAAAACGTTCCGCACAAGTAACATTTACATTAGCATGTCGCGACTCGTTACTATGTTATCGATTGGTACATATGTAAATCAGGGATTCGCCAGCGAAGATCAGACGTGAATAAGACGTTAAGTTGACGAAAGGAATGTCTCTGAATGCGCAAGAAGAATTTTAAAGTTTATTTAGCGCCTTTAAATGACGTTTTACGTATTTACTTAAGCATTACAGGTGGAAGACAAAAATTTGACATCGTGGTATTTAATAGATGGCAATTTCGAAAGGGAAACTAAAGTTTGAAGTAGTAATGAAATGGCGAACTGAGAAATATTGTAAAAAAGACTTGGAATACTTGAAAATACACTGTAAAAAATGCGCATAAAATCATCATAAAGTTGTAAGTCCTAAGACTGGTTGGACACGCACCTTCACTCTTTCCAATCCCGAGCTTCTTCACATTTCCCTAAAATAGGAACAACCCACATCATTAACTAATTGCGAATAGTAATCTAATCTAGGTCTACCTCTACCCCTCCTAACTCCCGTTTCTGGCTCTAATATGTCTCTGACTAGACCTTCATGCCTGAGAAGGTGTCCTACCAACCTATCTCGCCTATTTTTTATTGACTTCCATAGAGTCCTCTGTTCTCCTATTCTTTCTAATACCTCTTCCTTTCTAACCTTCTCTATCGACGGTATCCTCATTATTCGCCTATAACACCACATTTCGAACGCTTCTAACCTTTTCTTTTTCGCAGCGCCCACCGTTCATTTTTCGCAACCGTAATATCCCTATTACTCCTTCCATTCCTGACTTTCTAGATTTCCTAAAATCAGTCACCTCTTCTAATTTTTCGTCTCCTATATTCGCTCTTTCCCTGCTTTTTCTTCCCTTGCAAACCAGTATTTTCGTTTCACTTTTATTTATTTTCATACAATACTGTTTTGTCAATACCGCTTCCATTTTATTTAAAACTATATCTAACTTCTCCTTGCTAGATGCTAATACTGCTATATCATCTGCAAATCTAAGCATACCAATCTTTTACCCCTGTATATCTATCCCTACAGTTGTAGGTACTGTCTTTAATGATATTGATCGCGTCTTCAATGTATAGATCAAAAAGCAGCAGTGACAGTGTGCATCCCTGTCTGATTCCCTTCCTAATATTTACTTCTTCATGTTGCAGCCCCAGCTCTATAACTGCCTGTTGCTCTTTATACAAACTACATTTCTAAGTATATTTAACATTTTTAACTTTTGGAGTATGTAGCTTAATCCGCCACATAGCAAATATATTTGTTTAGAAAGTGTTGTAGCTAGAGAATGACAGGATGATGAGCAGTGGTCATTGTATTAATAGTCTAATATAAGGTTTGGACTTGGGCATGAGAAGAACAATAAAAAGTATATAAAATCAATAGTTTCGTAATAAAAGTAAACTTGAAATTGAAGTGATGCTGTAACCGTCCATTGGATTTATTAGTGAATTCTTAAACTATAGACCTTTCGACAAGTTATCTTACTTATTCAAATGTCGGTCGTCTGGTATGTCATTTACAAGAGAAACTCGACGAATGTATTACAAATATTGGATTATTTTACGTTGTTGTCTGTATCGAATATCCGAAGTCGATGAGAATGTCATAACTTAGTTTTAATTACTCTTACTGCTCCCACGCGCGCTATATCATTCTCTCTGTCTCTCGCTCACTCTGTCATCCTGCTCCTTTCAGATTTACGCCAAGTAAAGACCGAAAGAAAAGATAAGTTTGATTTATTTCAAGAAGTGGCTTAGATGTTCATTACATCTTAATTTAGATCTCGGATCTCGCGTCCGAGGCCCGAGATTTATGAATCGATAAGATACGGCCGCGGAAGGATATACCTACTCTCAAACTTTTCATGTATGTAACTACATGTTTGTTACTTACTCGTGTTGTTACTGGTTTTAGATTTATCACGATACAGCTGTCACTTGGCCGTTCGCTTTATCTTTCTGATAGCGAGAAAACATCTTCATGGTGTTCGAATGTATCAGCTGACGTGGACGTGACAGAAGGTCTATGGAACGAAGGACATTTGCATTTGAATGATCCTTCTGGCGCATATGGTGTCGTATCGTAATCCACAGTAATAAAGAGAAATAAAAAATCCAAGGATATTTGTTTTGAATTATTGAAAGAGTACTTTTATATTTGCAAAAGGAAGAAACAGGATTAAGTCCTAGTCCTAGTGGTTTTGTGTAACTGTAATCTTGCGTGGGTAAATGTGTAGGGTGGTTATTTTGCACCCTAACGGTGACCAAAAACTGTAAGTAGTAAATATTTTTGGGGGATGTTTGTACATAATATGTTCTATCGGAATGTATTCTGCATTTAAACAAGTCGCTGTCTAAAACGATAATGTCACTTTGATCATGAGAGACTGAATCAAGGAAAGATGTTTCGTTATTATTCTGTAGGCTTCACTTAAAGGCTTAACAAAGTCCTCTCGTCAAAAGAAATCGACGTGAAATCGGAAAGGGAGGCATCGTTAATCTTCTAGCCGTCGTCTGTCTACTACTAACTGACTCGGGTTTATTTTAGCTCCGAGTTCCCCATTTGCATTCTCTTGTTTTTATGCATTCGTTAGGCACCAATGGTTTGCATTTATTTTTAGGCAAAGTTACAATCTTAAAAGCGATCGGCTCAAACTTGTTAATGATTCGAAGGAATTGCACCAGCATTCACGATGCTAATATCAGTGGCGGCTCGTTAATACAACGTATATACGTAATTAAATATTTGCTTAAAAGTATTTTCCGTAACAGTCAGTGAAGAAACAAAGGAATTTGTTTTTCAGATCCTTTCGCAATTTCCTTCAAGGCGTTAGTTTGTTAATTGATAGGATGCTTGCTCTGTCTCTGAGTGATTATATAATCAGTACCATTGAAGATTTCATCCGCAGTTACCGATGAAGCATCTGGATCTAACGATTATTTAGGTCATTTAGATCTCTGCCCTCTCTAAATTCGTCACTGACTTAATTAGTATTTTCAATTCACTAACTATTTCAGCTAATATTCATTAATTAATTTGCAGTTGTAACTGTGAAAATTCGCTGAAAATTAGTGAATATTCAACACTAATACATTTTAGGACAAATAATTAATTTTAGTATGTTTATTCTTAAAAGAACAGTTGTTTTGGCTGGTATTTATTGGGTTAGATTAAAGCTGAATTTAGCAGGGGAGCCATCTACCGAAAGCGGCATTGATTTATGGCTTCTCGATTGATGTAACGTGTATTTATGTTTCATTTATCTTTGTAATTTCTCAATATTAATGATTTTACTTGTAGTAACCCTGTTACTGTTATGTTGGTCATCTCCTTTTAGGGCCCGGAACACGTTCGGCTGACAAAGAAATTGATTAGCACTTTCTACATTTTGTCTGTTAGATATGTCGTATCATCGTTCTCATTCGGGAATCTCTCATACACACACACACACACACACTTGCTTTTTCTTTTTATATCGTTTACTTTATAAGAAACTGCTTTTCACTGTTACCGAATTTGTACATACAAAGAATAGCTTACT